ATACTGTAGATCGTGTCGATACCTTTTTAAAGATATACTGCACGTCCTTATCGGCCAAAGTTGACCGAGCGCCTCCATGAATGGATGTCACTCCTCTCGTCCTCCTGAGTGGATCCACACGATTTCCAGTTTATTTCTTCTCTTGTCCTCCCCTTCCACATCCAGAATCTGCCACAATGCGATTTCGGCAGCCCTGCGGGAGGGATGGAGGTTATTTAGCTTCCACCAAGGTATTATAGCGCAATGCATTAAATAGCTCCTAATTCCAACAGATTGCCAGGCCCTCCTTGCTCTGATACCATGTTAGAATGGTCTAAGCTACTAGAGTAGTCTTAGAACCTCCATCCTAGAGCCTAGGAATTTTAGGAACCAGCTTGGGAATGAACCGATACCATGTTAGAATGGTCTAAGCTACTAGAGTAGTCTTAGAACCTCCATCCTAGAGCCTAGGAATCTTAGGAACCAACTTGGGCATGAACCGTGCTAGAACCAAGAGAGTTCCCAAGAAGTGAGTTGCAACAAGAGAGAACCGTAACCTATAGGGTTTGGGAGGTGGTCCACTTTAAAGAGTGTATACCACAAGTTTTCCAACCCAACCAATATATTATTTACTACTGTAGTGTAGCTCCAACACTATATATATATGTTCATTGGGGCAACCCGAATTAACCATGATTCCAATAAACATGTCAAAAACAAGTATGTGCAACTTGTCAAACATATATGCTGCTTATTGTGTAGGCTGTAGTGGGGTAGCCCATATGGGGTACAACCCGATTAGGGTTTCCTACTTGTACCCATCCTGCTGCTAGTTCATTCATTCCTGTTCAAAAAAAAAAAAAAAAAAAAAAAAAAAAAGGGTAGCCCATATGGGGTACAACCCAATTAGGGTTTCCTACTTGTACCCATCCTGCTGCTAGTTCATTCATTCCTGTTCGTTATTCTGACATGGTTTCATAGCAGGTCCTAGCCTAGGACCGATTTCTTAGGGCCCACCGAGTAGCGCTACCCCACCCGTCGCGCCACTGTGATCGCGTCGCCCTGCTCTGCCCTGCCCTGCCCTGCCCTGCCCTGCCCTGCCCTGCCCTGCCCTGCGCCGCCCGCAGCAGCGCGCATTGATTTGCCGGCGCGCCGCCTGCTGCAGCGCGCCCTGCCCTGCTCGCGCGTCGCGTCGCTGCGTCGCCCTGCCCGCGCGTCGCGCCGCGCGCCCTGCCCTGCCCGCGCGCCGCGCCGCCGCGTGCCCTGCCTGCGCGCCGCGCCGCCGCGTGCCCTGCCCTGCCTGCGTGCCTTGCCGCGCGCCTCTACCCTGCCCGCACGCCGCCGCCGCGCGCCCTGCCCTGCCCGCACGCCGCGCTGCCGCGCGCCCTACCCTGCCCGCGTGCCGCGCCGCCGCGCGCCCTGCCCTGCCCGCGCGCCCTGCCGCGCGCCTCTGCCCTGCCAGCACGCCGCGCCGCCGCGAGCCTCTGCCCTACCCGCGCGCCGCGCCGCCGCGCGCCCTGCCCTGCCCGCGCGCCGCGTGCACAGCCCTGCCCGTGCGCCGCGCCGCGCGCCCTGCCCTGCCCGCGCGCTGCGCCGCCGCGCGCCCTGCCTTGCCCGTGCGCCCTGCCTGAGCGCCGTGCGCGCCTTGCCCTACCACGCGTCGCTCACTGCTGCACTACTGCTAGCGTGCTCACCTGCCTAACCCTACCTGCGTGCTGCTCGGCTGCTAGCGCGCCCGACTGCTCTGCCCGCTATGGCCACTCTCAACGTTCTCACCTTCGATTCGGAGGGCCGCCTGATAAAGTTCAATGCGTGGCTAGACGACTTACAGTTGTTCCTGCTGACAAACTTTAAGGACGGCACTTCGCTGTTTGACCTCACTTCTGGCGCCTCGCCCGCCCCTGCCGCAATAGCTGACAGTGCGACTCGCTCACTGTGGCT